AAGAAGGGAGTTATTAGTGATTATCTGATGGTTCAGTCTAATGCCTCCTTGTTCTCTGGGTTCATAAAGTAGTGTAGATGTAGAGCTGAGGTGCAGGGTAGAGCCTGCCACCTCATCCCAGCCCTCCTGGTTTTGATCCACAAAGATCTGCAGCTTCTTCCTGGTCACACACTCTTTCCAGTTTGAATCATAGATCTAAACTAATTGTCCTCCTCAGGTCATCAGGGGATTACTGAAGTTTTGGCCAAAGACCTGCAGTCAGAAAGAGGTGAAGCTCCTTGATCTCTATCACTAGGTTCTGCTACTTGTTGATTCACACTCAGTGGTGCATAATCAGTCACTTCTCTGGTGCTCAGGTGATGTTCCTTGGAGAGCTTGAGGAAATTCTGGATGTCATAGAGCCCACGCAGTTCGTGAAGATCCAGGAGCCGCTTTTCAAACAGATCTCCAGATGTGTTTCCAGTCCACACTTCCAGGTTGGCGACGTCCTGACAGAAGCCTCGAATGGTTCTGCTGCCGATTCTCTAAACCTAGAGATGTTTGCTCCTTCCCTCCAGGTTGCAGAGCGAGCTTTGTACTACTGGAACAACGAATACATCATGAGTCTGATCGAGGAAAACTCCAGCGTCATCCTGCCCATCATGTTTGCCAGTCTGTACAGGATCTCCAAAGAACACTGGAACCCGTGAGTCCGTCTGCACCATTTACTGACACATCATCAGCTGACCTTCATTTGATTGATTGATCAGAGAGGAAAGAAAAAGATCTGAAGGAGATGAAGAGCTTTAAACTCCTGCATCATCCAGATCCTCCTCTGGGATAGAAGAATAGAATAGAATTCAACTTTATTCTCATTCTACTGTCACAGTACAGAGCAATGAAATCAACTCTCTGCATCGTGCGGCGCCCAGGGAGCAGTGTGGGGTTAAGGGTCTTGCTCAGGGACCTAGAGTGGAGGCTGTGGGAGTGGGACTTGAACTCTGGGATCCATGCTCTATGCCCAAGCTCTTGGCCGCCGCTTGCGGCTATATTACTATATTTAAAGAGCATTGAGCTATTATTAAATTCATAGAACCAAAACATGCGGTAATGAACCCTTAATTTAAAATGACATCATTAAAACTCACCATCGGCATCAATCACACGTTTCTGGATGGATCTTTGGAATGGAGGATTATTGCTTTGTTCTCTGCCTCCAAACTCAGCATCTCTTCATCCGTGCCTGAGATCAGAAGTTTGGTTGGACATTGTTAGATGCTTTTAAACTTTTAAGCCGGTATATTTTGTCAGTATAAAATAACTATTCTGATGGATGATGGAGGAATCTGTTTCCTGGTCTGCTGAAGGACCAATAATCTGCATCCAATCATTTCATTAAACGCTCTTCGTTGTTGGGAATATAGAAGAATTATGCTCTGATCTGTAGTTACCGATCTGTCGTTACCATATATATGTATTTGATAAACCTTCTAAATGTTCTTTTTCCTGTTTGGTATGATTGAAATTGTGTATCTTGACCTGGCTGGACTGGAGTGAGCTTTTTTTAGCTCCGCTCCTTATTTTGACGGTGAAGGACGGAGAAGACGTCCGTGGACGGTGACGTGCGGAAGATGTGGAACAGCTCTCATATTAACATGACAGATCAATTACTCCGCAGGACGTACTTGAGCGGGGCGGGGCAGAGCGTGGCGGGCGGAGGATGTGAAATCCTGGGTAACGGTTTCAGTGCAACCTGGGGCCTGGACTTCAGCAATGACTCAGAAAAAGAGTCATCTGGGAAGTCCTGGACCGAGTCAAAGTCTAGACCTCAGTGTCATGGAGCTGATCTGAAACACGCTAAGGCGTCCGCCTTAATCAGTGTGGAGTGTCTACGCCGTTTTATACGAGTGTCCGAACGTCTAGTGCAGGCATCCCCAAAGTCGGTCCTCGAGGGCCGCTGTCCTGCAAGTTTTAGAGATTTCTTTGCTTTAGCACAGCTGATTATTATGATTGCAGTTGAGCAAAAGCCTGGTAATTAGCTTTCAATTAAAATCAGCTGTGCTGGAGCAAGGAAACCTCTAAAACCTGCAGGACAGCGGCCCTCGAGGACCAACTTTGGGGATGCCTGTCTAGTGGACAGAAATTTTCCCACAATGCACCTTGAAAAGTAGTGATCATCCATGGTCACTAGACGAGCAGATATATCCCAGAATGCTTTGAGGGAGCTCTCCTTTCAAAGCATCATGGGATTTGTTGTAGCAACGGTAAATAACAAAGATGGCGAAGGCATCGTGCAGGGAGGCGCAGTCACATGACCAATGGGGAGCGAAAAGTAGTGATCATCTGTCTGAACGTTCATTTAACTGAGTTCACTATAAAGTCCCTGCTCTCTATAGTGATGGAGGGGTCAGAGGTCAGGCTGGACGTTAGGACACAGCCTAGAACCTCTGAAAGGGGGACAGACAAATCAACCATCAGCTCCAACTTCCTGTGTTGTTTGATTTGATTCAATGAAGCAGATCAGAACTTTATCTCCTTCAACCCTGATATGGACTCTAAACTGTCCTCTGTCCTCTCCCCGTCCTCTGTCCCAGGGCCATCGTAGCGCTGGTCTACAATGTCCTGAAGGCCTTCATGGAGATGAACAGCACCTTATTTGATGAGCTCACCGCCACCTACAAGTCAGAGCGTCAGAGGTAAGGACTCCATCAGAACCCACTGAACCTCTAACCATCCTCGTGGAGGTGGGTAGAACCTTCATAGGGTCAGCTAAAGTAGTCACACCCCTGATCCTATCAGAACCGACCAGATGCAGGATTTAGGCCTAGTCAAAGTCCAGACCTGAAACCTTTTGTCAGACATGAAAGCTGATCTTCTCTGCTGGTTCTTCTACAGAGTTCAGCGGTTCTGACCTGCAGCAGTCCTCAGATCCTCTTTGCTCATTTCTGACATTAAACTTATTGAAGCTTGAGGTTCAGAACCGCACCTGATGGAGGACTAGAACCTGTCCAGGTCCTGCAGAGGGTGGAGCTCATTCTTCTTCTGCTTGTTTTAGGGAGAAGAAGAAGGAGAAGGAGCGTGAGGAGCTGTGGAAGAAGCTGGAGGACCTGGAGTTGAAGCGGGGCCTTAGGAGCGACGGGATCATCCCCACCTAACGGACGCCACCGCCGCCGCCTCCTCTGCTCCTCAATCCCTGCCCTGAGCTCCGGTCTCTGGACTCTCAGAACCTCGGGGTTCTTCATCCGTTTATTATGAGTTCTGTTGTTTAGTTTCTCCTGTTTGTGCGACTTCCTTTACTGTAGATCATCACATCTGTTTCCATGGTTACTGTAAATAATTATCCCTGAACTGATGATGATGCGAACAGAAAAACGAGACGAATAAAAACGGAGAGAAAGAATCTAAAGAAAGAAGCAGGAAACTGAGATGGTAGATTCTTCATTTCTGTTTACCCTCCTCCTCCTCTTCCTCTCTCTGCCTGATCAGATGAGCTAATGAACCTCCACGCCGTCTCAGACGACCATCCTGGGAAATCAGAGTGTGTTTACATGCAGATCTAGGAATACTGGAGCTAGATGGTGTAGTTGTTCTATTTCTCTCTGAGCTCCAGAGGAAAGGATCAACCATGGGGGGGTCCTCTTCATGTGAACACACTCTGAGTAAGGAATCGAACCATTGACCCCCTGGGTCTTTAGGAGACCCGTTGGTACTGGTCTGGTACCAGCCTGCCAACAGATAACCATGCAAACAGAACTCTGTTCCTGCTGTTTGCCAGCAGGGGGCGCTGCGTGGAATTCACAGTATTACAGTGACTAGAACCGAGTTTCTGTTAGAACCTTAGTGTTTGTTTATGGAGCAGAACCAGAACCAGACGTCTTCTGTTTCCCCTTTACTTCATTTTGTCTCACTTTATTCTCTGCTTTTTGGTTTTTATCTTGTTTTCAATATTTTGACATTTCTGTTCATTAGATGTTTGTGTATATCTTTGCGGGGGGGTTAGTTCAGAGTGGGAGGGGGGCATGGAGCAGATGGAGCTGTTGGGACCTTAGAGAGCATTCTGCCCCATCAGAAGCCCTTCCTCCCTGTAGGATGGATGTGGTGTAAAACGGCCCGGATGTAAAATGATTTACGACCAGAGAAAAGATCAAAGGGTTGGAAGAAAAATGTTTAATTATTTTAAAAATAAAGAGATATTAAATTAAATCGGTTTGTGATAAGGACTGAAATGCTGTTTGGGTTTTTTTCTGTCTGATTTTAAAAGATGTTGGTGGAATTCTAATTCATTGGAAGAAATAATACAAGACAAGTAAAATAGAGAAAATAAACCTGTGAGTCTGTAAAGCAGAAAAGTGTCAGCAGTAGATTAGAGGTCAGTCAGCGCGACTGCTGGAAGATGACCTAAAAAATGCAATGAGCTCTTTGGTTCTGATGCTGCTGCCTGTGAGATTCATCACCTTCTGCTTGGACCGGAACCTGGAGCTGCATACACTGTCAGAACCATAGATGTATAAGAGTAGGCCTCTGACTGTTGCGGTGCAGAAATCCCGGGCGCCATCTTGGGGAGGTCGACCAGCTCCCCTAACCGGCTGCTTTAAGCAGAAGAGAAGTAGAAGGAGGCGAAGTTGAATGAATCTGGGCCCTCATACTGTCCTCCTGGGCTCTCTGCAGAGATCCAGAGCTTTTTCCAGTTAGATAAGTGACTGCTCAAATAAGCTGTGTTTTACAATCGGAGCTGTCAGCTCTCACCTTTTGGGCGTGAGACTCGCCCATCTCAGTGTCTTCACACACTCACACTCCATATCCGCAGTTTTTCACGCTCGAGGAGATGCCAAGTCAATTCTAGGACATGCCGGGTTAATTCTAGGAGATGCCAGGTCAATCTGAGGATATGTCAGGTTTCGCTCCGCTCCGACTTCCTTCAAATATTATCCGATTCAGAGGAGAAAAACATGCAGTAATGAACACGCACAAGATGATCTTTTATTTCCAGGTGGATCATCTCCATCATTGGTCCTCCTAACTGTCAATCATTCTGGCGATATATCTACGTAAGACCGCCCTACGTGCTCATCCCGTTAGCGATCTTTTTTCTGCGCACTTTCAGGCGTATATCTGTGGTGAGCTATGGTTTCAGTCAGTCATTGAAGCTCATCTTTCTCACCGCGGTTCGTTGAAAATGGCCGAGAGTCAGAGGAGAAAGTTTCAACGAAGTGTATGAGAAGAAAAATTAGGCCTCATAAGAGACAGATATATCCCAGAATGCTTTGCACGGAGAGCTCTCCTCTCAAAGTATTATAGGATTTGCTGTCACAGCGGCCCGCTGTTGCTACCCGACAGCGGCAACTAATAACAAAGATGGCGCAGGCACCGCGGGGTGGAGGAGGAGTTATGTGACCAACGGAGCAAAAAGCGTGATCAGCTGTCTGAACGGTCAGTTAACTGAGTTAACTATAAAGTTCACTATTTAGTCCCCGCTCTCTATAGTGATGGAGGGATTTAGGGGTTAGGGTGGACGGTCAGATACACCAAGCTTGTAGGAGCGATGAGAACAGCAACATTTAAACAGAGCGTGCACAAGGAGAAATTTGGCACGCTTCCTGTCCACTGTCTTCACTTCCTCCCCTGCTGTGCAGCGGTGGCGACAGGTGCCTGGGTCAGGTCAAGAAGCGAGCACTGACCTGCGTCATAGCGGAGAGCGAGGGGTTCACTAACGCGCTGAAAGTCCACCAGACAGACCGAGCTGTCCTGCGGACAGAACCGGACCAGGCGACGTTAACCTTAACCAGCAGATAGAGAATGCCAACATAGAGCCGCCCCCTAAAGGAAGCAGCCATTCACCGTGGTGCAAACAAACAGCCACCTGCAGCAGCTAATCTGTGTCAGATGAATGGACTATGTTAAAATCACTGAACAAAGGACCCAGAAAGCAGAGACACAGTTCATGTCAGAGTGAGACCTCTTGTTTCCCCAGTAGCTTTGCTGTCACCTTCCACCTGATGGTCCATTGAAGATGCAGCAGATGTTCTGACTGGACCTACTGCTTCATCTGACTCATGTAGAAAAGCCTGCATGGACCATTTTGGATTGATGTTACTTTTCTATAAGCTGTAGGTCTTTAAAGAACTAAACTATAAATAAATGTGTTGTCAGTTTATCTGTTTTATTAATCATCCAGCAAATAGAAAATTAGGTCTCAAACATTAAAATAAATCATTTTATTGAAGGCGAGAACATGTAATGTTTCCTGGACCCCATGAGGAGCCTCGGAGCTGCAGGTCCAGAGGTGGTTGGGATTCCGACTCGTCTGCTGGTTCTGATCCACAGTGTTTTATCAGGACCATCCATCTTTCAGAAGAGTTCAGAAGTGAAAATGCTGATAGTGATTTCTAAGACAGACTGTAACTACTAACTGTAACTAGGCCATTAGGCTACATAGCAGCAGAAGAAAGCAGCGTCTGTCCCAGTGTGGACCGAGATGTCCAGTAAACCAATCCTTGATTGGTCCGCTCAGCAGCCTTCATTCAGTCAGACCTTTGAAGTTGGGTCCCGTGTACGGAGGTAAGGCTGTCTGCTGGCTCAGCAGTTTGTCCATGATGGCGATCTCTGCCTCCCTCTTCTCGACCTGCTCCATCGGGGTCCAGGACATGTCGTGCTGCAGCTTGAAGGCTCCCAGGAAGGGATGAGGGCAGCTGGGTCCCCATTCCTTCAGGGGAAAGATAAATGGGTCAGCCGGGTTCACACACTGAGCATCAATAACATTTACTGCCAGCCATTTAGCTAACATTAGCATCAATAACATTCACTGCAAGCAATTTAGCTAACATTAGCATCTATAACATTCACTGCAAGCAATTTAGCTAACATTAGCATCTATAACATTCACTGCAAGCAATTTAGCTAGCATTAGCATCA